AATTATTTATACATAATAATATTTTATATTATATAATAAGTAGTTATATAAATTTTATTCGTGTAGACACTGTATTATGAAATATGTAATATTTGTTTTCCGTAAGTAAAATTAGGTCCTTCTAGGCTATAATGAAAAAAGTCGACTAGTGTTTTCATGGGGGGGGGGGGGGTGATATCTCCCCAAGACTCCTCTTCGGGACGGCCCTATAAGTATGTATGTAATATTATTAAATATGTATTATCAAAATATGTACTATTTGGAGTTCTAAATTTTTAAAGAGGAATCAATATAATAATGAAAAAAAAAAACGTGTGAATTGTGATAATGAGAAACGTAATTTCGTTGGAAATATTTACGTAACAAAATAACCATTTTACAACAATATTATTATAGATTAAATACCACAAAGAGAACTTTGTGATATTGAATATAAATATTGATATATTTGAAGAGTATGTGTGAACACAACTATTAAACAATAAATGTATTGTAAAAAAATATAACTCTTTCAAATTGAATCTAAAACGTATATATATAAATTTAACCGAGTTTAACTAAATAAAAATATATTTTGAAAATCATAAGAACAATCAACAAATTAAAAATTCATATTATTAAAAATAATTAAATTCGTTCTCGCTTTTTTAAAATAAAATGAAAACGATTATCACATCAAATAAATACAGTTAAATAAAGTTAAACGCTTAATAACTTCTATCAAATGAATAATATAAACATTGATCTCAAATGATATGTTTTATAAAGTCTTCTAAAATCTGAACTACGTTTAGTGTGCGAGTGAAAAATGGGAACAATTTCAAGAACAAAAGTGTTTACCAAATAATAAATCGCCACGGCGAGATGGTCGAGGTCAGTTTTTGATCTCGTTAGATTAACTCTAAATTTTAAGAACGCAAAAAGTGAATGCAAATCATTGTTTTTTGGCAAACCGTTTAAAGCACAACTAAATCCTTGACGTGTACATCGCATTGTGGTCGTACGATATCATAGTACTGTAGTAGTGTACACAACGTATACACTCATATGTGTGTATAGTACTATATAATGTATTTTATAACAAGTGTCTGCGAGATGTACTCTTATTATTTATATTCATTCATACCGAATTCTGAATCACCGCGGTCGAGGTTAATAATCTACCTATACACTCGTCACGTAGCGTTTTCTATAATATTATACGTGTATATATATATAATATACACATAAACATTATGTGAAATTACATTACATTATATACATATATATATATATATGGTATATACGTACATTATTTTTTTATACTCTCGATGGAAAGCACTTTCCACGTTCTCCCAGTCAGGCGCGCACCCATGACTATTACGAATAAATATAATGTAGCCAAGGTGGCCGGCCAATGGTCAATTATTATTATAACGGTCAACGTGGTTATCGTACATAAGACTTATGGTAAAAAGTAATACATGACAGCGATCCATAGCGGCAGCGACACCTTAAAGAAAGAAAGAAAGCGTATACGTTCCGAAAATTACAGATAAACGCGTTTTTATGTCCCCGGGGTTTCTGCTGTACGTCAGGAAATATCATATGTATAAATATATGTATATATGTTACAGATGCTCGACACAAGTGTTTATGGCAGTTTTCAAATTAAAGAAAAAAAAAAGTACAAAAATTAAATAATAGCGAACGATAATCGGATATAATATAATATTTGTTGATTATATTTTCAAACACATCCTCCCCCGGAGAATATGACGTATACACATCGGAGCTTTCACTCGCGACCATGCCCATATAACAATGGTCGGTATAGTTCGTTTTTACTATTTTTTTTTGGAAATAACATATCATTAGTCATATATCAATTTACAATCATGTTTTAATAATAATAATTTTGTATCTATACATTATATACAGTATTACAGTATAAATAAATACGGTGCGCACACACAGCGTTAACATAACAACATAGACTCCGATGGCAGATGATGTATCCTATACCGTTATAAAAAAATAAAAATAAATATATAATATCCAAAGTGCACAACCGGTTTTACCGTTCACGATATTATATATTGGCCCAATCTTGCGCGCGCGTAACCGCAATGATTTCACTTTTCGTTCGCCGTACAACCCTGGGGCTCCCGAAATCCATTGTTCCAAGTAATGAAGAAGGCAGCGAAAGTTCCCGGTCGTTTGCAACGTGAATATATTTCTCCCTATTCGATTATTCGATTATGTTATTGTATTATTATTATTATTATTATTATTTTTTTTTTTATGCATACTAGTATATTCTACGATTCGTAAAACATAAATAATAAATAATAAAATCGAAGAAAAAATAATAATAAATATCAATAAAATACCGAACGAGAATAACTGGATATAAACATACTGAATAGCCGGTAGCTAGTTTGCCTTTCTAAAGGGTCACTTGGGTTGTAAATGTTGCGTAAATATTCTCACACACACGTTACGCGCGTGTGTGCGTGAGTGTATTACAGTAATTCGATAGATATATAGTTATTACCTATTATCATTTTTATTTTAACCATATCAGATATACGTTAACCACGTCATCATGATCGTATACATTCAAGTGTACTTAAAATGGTATACTTTCAATTTTCTTCTCGTGAAGACCCCTCACACTCTCACCATCTTTTGAATTAACTACAATCATATCTTAGGTTTATATTCGTATTAAGTACCTAATCACTGTGTGTAAAAATCTTTCTGTTGTACAATTAATGAAAACTGGTATAAATAATTTTAGATTGATGAAAAAACTTTGCATACTACAAAACATGATTTATTTGTACAACAACATTTAGTTACTGCAAAGTTTATAAATAATATTCAACATTCATTATATTGTAATACAATTTCAAAATATCACTAATATAAAATATTTTGTTTCAATAATATTTTAAATTACTCGGTGAACTTAAAAGTAACATGATTAAATGAAAAAGTTTTAAAAAAAGCGTACTTGTCAAGTATAACTAGACATTGTATGTAATCCATAAGGTTCCAAAACCATTTTAGTGGAAACAAGAACCAATTTTTTTCGATATTTTACAAAAATATTGTATTAGTGGGCAACAGCGAAATCGGGAAATTTAATTTATTGAAAAGATATTTCTTGATTTCTTGATTGTATACATCTATAAATATTTAGGGATGGAATATTAAAAAAAAAAAAAAAAAAAAAATATATATATATTAAGAAAATTAGGTGAAATCTCATTTATTTATTCGAGCAGCTTGTCTATGAGCATACACTTAATATATATATATATATATATATATATATATATATTATTTAATACAAATTTAGTCATATAGAGGAATATATTAATATATGATATAAACCATTTAGTTCAATACACAATCATATTCACTCGATATTTAATAATTATCCTTAACACACGTTTTTAATTTATTGATTTAAAACATTATTAAAAATGTAAATTGTTTATTTTAGCATATTTTGATTCCCCTACAATTCTTCGAAAATAAGGTTTGAGATTAACTTTATTCATACATGTATATGAAATTAAATGTTTGTTTCAGATGACTCAAGCTAAGAAATACTAATAATCACGTAGGTGCCTACGATGATAATTGGGTGAATATATAATACGATTACAAGAGTGACGCATCACATATAGTGACATTTCCTATTCATCGGTTAAATCATTCATAAGATACGAAAACATTCCAATCCAATGACATTAATTATAACTCCGTTATACAGTGTACGCTCAACCAAATAAACAATACGGTAAAAAGAATTTCAATTTCAGTTCCTTTAACAGTGGAAGAAAGTCGATTTTTTCAGATTTTATGATAATGTGGTAGTAAATTTGTCATACCAGATCACTAAAATCAAAATCATGAGTAATCCAAGAGCTTGAATTATTTTATTCTCAAGAAATATCAAAATTTAGTAATACACGTGTATATATATATATAGTTATAGATATTAAAAATATTAAGACAACAAAAATAAACTGATACATTATTTGTGTAAATATTTTTTGTACATAAGTATTGCATACTATCATATATAATTTCTCTGGATTAAGATCTTTATATTGAATTTAAAACTATTATTTTGTATTTGAAATTAAAAAAAGTGTTTGTAGCTCATTATCAATGCCAAGAAAAATGGAGAGATCTTACTTAGGTGGAAGTACGAGGTATGTTCATGACATTTTTATTTTTCATTAGCAAATAAATGTATGACGCTTTCTCAAGCCACAAAATAAAAGTTATCCTAATAATATATATGCGTTAATAGGATAAATCAATAATACAAATTATGATTAATTAATTAACTTAAAACTAAGACTATTAAACTTTTTAAGCAGTCAATACTAAACTTGAATCTTGTAAAAATATAAAGCCAAAGTAAAACCGTTTGCCATGTATTATTGGCAAAATATTGTTGACATTAAATGTTTGTATTCTACATAATTAATTTTTTAATAAATTACCATTTACTCGTAAGTTATCAACAAATATTATTTAATACCACTTAGTTTTGTTTTAGAATTATTTATCGTTGTAGGATCATAGGAGTATACGAATGACTTAATAATTTTTAACTATTCAACAAATTTAAATATTCTTAGTCTTTATACGGTAGAAAACAACTTTGACTTATTTTTTATTTTTTCGAACCAAAATAACCATATTCTGTAATTGATATTCTTAAAAAAAAAAAAAACATGAATAAGTACTTCATTTTATCTACCTATAATAGTTAAAAAGAATTATATTAATTGTAAGTTGTTTCCAATAGTTAATTATTTCAGAAGAGGCCAGACCACTATAGACAAGAATAGTTTTTTAATCTAAATTACATATTATTTCATTTTTGAACGACTTATATGATTCTTCTATGACTTCAACTTTATTTTAATATTTAGTACGTTTTAAACATATTCGTAATTTCAACTAAAATATTTCGTACCGAATGCACTTACCTATCTGTGCAACGGCTGGATCCCAATTCTCAATAATAATTTTCAACTGAAAAATAAAATAATACAAAATTAGGTTTTCTTTACTACAACTATTTAATGAATATCTTGATTACTTATACAATTATATAACTACAGGTAGGTAGATATTAATTACTAAGTGTTATTATTAAAAATAATATAAACCTAGTTCGGTATGTCCTTGAGTTCGAATATTCTTAACTTTCAAACAAATATTTTGAATAGTCAAGGAATACAATTAAAGATGAGTGTATTATTATAACATAAAACAAGAATTTGATTCAAGTTATAATTAAAAACTGGTCTGTCACTAGTCGCCGCTAGATATAGTTTTTATATTTTTTTTTTTTTTAAGGAATGATGATAGATTCTCAATATCAGTATCAGGTAAAAGGTTGTACCCGTGAAATCACTTATGTATATGAAAATGTGGTCTGACAGCAACATACTTTCACCAATAACTATAATAGGCATAGTGTGATTACAAATGTTGAGGAAGGTCACAGCTCCACGCCACAAATATAAAGAGCATCCTTTAATTTATAAAACAATGAAAAAAATATCACACTAATGAGTGCACAAACAAATTAATCGGATAAGGAGTAAAAGTTTTTGGCAGTATCAATATATTTTCTGTAGTAGAAATGTAAATAATAAGCATTTCTTTAATAGAATAAAAACAAAACAATTTTCGAAAAAAAATAAATTATTTATTGTAAAATCAATAAATTATTAATTTTATAAAAAATGGATTATTAACACGAATATATAATTTAGTAATAGTCTTCTTTTATAAAAATTAAGGATCAATTGTACTCATTATTCTAATACATATAGATTGATGTTTGCAGTGAACTTACTGCCAATAAGTATTATTATTTCGACGTAATATATTGGATAACAAATTGAAGTTCTACTCTAAACGAACATATTTTCGTTAATATTGAAGCTAGTTAATACATAATACACAAATAATTTAGAATTCTACATGTATATCGAATTATTTGAACATTAATTTATAAGAGCCAATATCTATATTGCTAATCAATCAAATACCCAAAATGTAATTCGTGAAAACATGCAAAAAATTAAAGGCATGAATCAAAAATTAAAACTAATTAACACCGTTAACTTTTGGCCGTTTCCTTATTAATTTATTTATATTCGTTTAAATAAAAAACCGTAACTAATAACATTCAGCCTGAAAGGAATCATGTAGGCTACTAAATGTACGTTACACGTCAACGAAATAATATTATAATAGAGCTGGAAAGTCGATGAGTCAATCACAGTACGAGAAAATACCGTTGTGATTTAATAAAAACAGGGGGGGGGCAATTGTATTGTTCCAAAAACAAATAAATAAAATTATTTAAAATGTAAAATAATAATTTGAAAAAAACGAATATACATTTATCATATCATACGATTGAAATCTCACTCATCTCCGCATAAATAGAGTAATTATAAAATATTTATAAAAAAAGATGTTAGATATAAGAAAAATAAAATAAACAATTTTGTGATCAATTATACATATTATAGAAGTCATTATTATAATTTTTTATTTTTTGTTGAGTATTCATTAAATATCTATCAATGAATACGACTTCAATTTTACAACCAATAAGCTTATATTAGCTTAGGAAATTTACTTACTTTTAGATATATTTGATAACATTCATCTGCCACTTTTAACAACGGTTCAAATACTAAATCATATTCTTCAAGGGACAAAATATCCATTCTTCGCAATGGTTCCCCATAGAATTCTTTTGCAGATTTCAAACAAGTCACATAGGCCATTTCATCATGAATGAATTTTTGCAATAGGCAATATCTTTCATCATTTTCTGAAATTAACATTATTTTACTATGCAATTAATCCATTCAATATTACATTGTTATTTTATATTTATAATGTGTTGATGAATAAAGTATGTATATTAAACTATTGTTATGGCTATACTGATTATTGCCATTAAAACTCGAAAAGTTAGAATTAATGATAAAAATATATCCTTAAAAAATTAAAGTCTTATGTAGTAGATCAATAAATTTAATTAACTAATTACTTAATAGATAATTACATATAAATTTCCATAAACATAATATTTTACAAGTCAATAAAACCACTTCATTAATATATTTTAAATGTCTAATTTAGGTTAAAAAGTAATAGCTTTGTATCATTATTGTGTTAAATAAAAGTTAAATCACTATTCAATGTATGAGTTTAAATTAAATTTCTTTTAAAGTAACCAAAGTTGCTTGCTGAATGTTCAGTTTGATTTTAACATGCACCATAATTTATAAAAAAAAAAAAAAAAAATCAATAATTATTTGACTAGTGTTATGTTTAACGTTAAAAGTTCTATTAAAACAATTATTATATTTACAAATTATTTATATTTAGAGCAAGTAATCTTAGCTAAAATGTATTTTTTCAAATATCCATATCAGGCGATTTGTATAGACAATCTGTCTAACAGTTGAACGAGTTGACGGAGAAAGGAAAATCAGACGAAAGTATATTTACCGTATTTTTGATCAGAACAAAATTGGTCTTCTTGCACAATTACAATATCTCCTTCCACAAAACCGATTGTAGATTTCTCATCGATTTCAGCTAATGATCCGCCTAAATAATAGCCAGGCTTTTCCAAGCTGAATTCAAACACCAAACCAGCTAGCAATTGCTGAATTGTTTGATCACTGGTCCCTGTTATCTAAAACAAACCGACAAATAAATAAAAATATAAGTTATAAGTACATTATTAATCAAGCAACTTAAAAATACAAATAAAATTGACTACCGAACAATATAACTTTCATTGATATTAAATACAAATATTTAAATAAAATGGTAAAACGCTTGCTATCCAAAACAATAATTAAACTCCCCCTACTAAGTATTAATTTAAATAACTCGAACTATTCATTATGGTACTGATATTTGAAAATATTCACGACGTTTAACAATGAAAGATAAAATGTTTTTGTTTTTTTTTTTCTAATGATTCGGTATTTAATGTTATTTAACTTAATGGTAAAAAAACAAATCTGTTTTTGACCACGATAAGAAAATACTTATTTAGCTATTTACTCTACTCGTGTACATATGAATTAAATATTTTGCTAAGAAGACGAATTTATTATGATCATATTAGACATTATAGACAACATATTACTGTTATAAAAAATACTTTCCAATTTAAATTCAATAGAGCATAACTACAATTTTTCCCAAAAATTTTTTTAAATAACATCATATTTTAACAATATATTATTTATTCAACTAACGTTTAATAACTAAAATAATAAAATTTAAGAATAAATAATAAATTTAATATAATATAATAAAAATTAATTTTATTTTATTATAATTAAACATCATGTTAAGTGACAAAAGCTTTTAACAAGAATAAAAATAATATTCAGATATTTTCATAAAGTAAGCCGCGTCATGTTGTACAATTCGTAGTGTAAATATAGTATCAAAATTACAAAAAAAAAAAGTATTTGATATAGTACCAACATTTTGCTTATACTTAATTATTTATAATTAAGTAATAACCATAAGTCTTATAATTAAGTACTAAAAAAATTAATCGACGTTAAAAAAATGTTTTCATATATTTAGTTAGGTTTTAAGTGATTTTAATAAAAATATATTACCATATTTTATTCGAGATACCAATCAAATAAAAAATAATAATCGATGTTAAAAATAATGTAACGTTTAAAAATAAAAACAACAATCAGCACTGGTGATTATTAATTACTATAAAAAAAAAAAAAATGTTTGAAAAATTGCATTGGAAACGTCTTTAAATTAAATAGATACAATGTCTCTTAATTAATAAGAATCAAAAATTTAAAAAATTTAAAATTATCGTACCGAAAAAATGAATTCAAAAAAAAACCTACGAGTAAAATAATTTAATATAAATTATTCAAATAAAAAATTAAGTTTTACTGTATTGGTATATGTATGTAAATATTAATCCTTTGTATATTATGTGTATCAATGAGAGTATGACAATATGACATAAAAATAGACATATGAAATAGAAATATGACATAATCTAATGAGTATAATAATTGTTTTATTTGATTAATAATTTAATTCTTTACGTCTCTGAATTAGCAAAAACTACTAAAATCTGCTTAACTTATCATAAAAACCCCTTAATATCCAAATCATAATATGTTACTATTCCGTACAACCCAATCAAAAGACTTGAAAAACAGTGATATTGTGACCTAATGACCTAACTAATTAATTTTATCATGCTGTAATATCTCCATTACGCCTTACGCCTTACGCTCTGCCTAATCTGTCATTTTTTTTTTATAGTATTTAAATTTATTTATTTATTTCCATCAATAATTCTTATTGTTCTATATTGTACCAGAATGAATAAAAAAAAATCTTTTGAAAACAAAAAATTGGATTAATAATTCTCTATTACATTTAAACATAAAAATCAATTTTATGGATTACAATTGTGCATTAAATTTGATTACACAAATGAGCTATTGATTTCAAAGTTCTACAGACTTCAGCCCACGAAAGTAACGCGCTATAATTCGATCATAACTATTATGTCGTCTGGTGATCATCTTGTTAATGAAGTTTGATGATTGACAGCTGGTTAACGCCTCCGATGCCAAACTGCATTGATTGTCAATAAAACCAGTAGAAACGTTCATAAATGCACTAAGTAAATAAATACTAAACATTGGCATTAGTATCAAAAAAATGCACACAGCAGATTCACTGAATACTTTTTAATTGCCTTTTAAATACGTTAGATTGACGGGCGACGGAGAGATGCAAAAATTAATGTATTCAGAAAGATTTATTTTTCACGGGACAACGGTGGTACAACATTAACTACACTATTAGTTATTGCACATAATTTATGCACGAATAGAAATTGTACGGGACTCGCAGTGCACAATACGTCGCAGCGTATCTGTTCGACGTAATATCGTTATAATATACATTAAAATCCAACCACGATCGCAGAAGCAAACGGGTGTATCATTAATCGAATTATCATAATATATAATGTTTCTCCTACACGGTGATGGAATCGAAAAATAATTACGCGCGTAACGGGTATTTCTGACCTTGTGTAAGGCCATGGGTGAAATTTTCACATAAACGTTCAATAATAAAAATCGTATTATTGCATTTAAGGTCGTAAACTAGAGATTGTACGAAAATCGCAACCTCCGGGCACACGCAAACTACACAACCCGACCGTGCGATCAACAGCAAGAGCAACTGATAGTCGACCGTAAACCGTTATATATGTTTATCGCTTACGTAGTTATGTGTATGTGTTTGATATAAACATATTGAGCTACCATAGTTTTATACTAGAAGCTATTAATAAAAAAAAAAAATTTAAAAAGTATAAACACACATATATATATATATATTTAGTAAACCAGTTTTGCGAAAACCGGAAGACAACTTGGAGTAAGTAATTATACAAACATAAACTTAGTATAAATAAAGAGAAGTATAAGGGCACAAACAACAGTGGACCATGCATGTAAGAGAAACGCATCTTGTCGGATGCAACTTTTTCGGAACAAAACCAATAATTCGTATTAGTAATATTTTGGGTACCAACATTTGTCGTTCTAGAACTCGAACAAAACCTAACCAGGTTAGAAAAACATATGTAAAGTTTTCTTACGAAAATCTAATAATAGCAATACAGTAAAATTCTAGGTAAGCATAATTGTGGTGTATGTTCATGTAGTAGGTTAAAATTGTTAAATACCTGTCAACCGTTTTTAACATTAGAATTTTTAGTTCTCTCCAATCGAATCTCATCGTTTTACGTCTTTTATATTATTGTAATTTCAACGTTATACAATATTTTACAAAAAAAATAAAATAAGACAAGATCTCAAAAAGTACTCTCTTCGTTAAATTTGGTTATAATCTATAATAGTAACCTATGCTACAGGATTTTTATTTTATGTAGAATTTTAGAATATTTCTACATGAAAATTCAATCAACGGAATCCCATATCACACATATGAGTATCACGTACTCATAATTTTAAATTATAAAAAAAAACGATTTTTGCTTTCATTTCGCTTTATTGATTTATTTCATATTTATTATGTAGAATACAAAACATGGTTTCTCCTAGTTTTTTGTGAAATTCTAAACTGGATCTACTCAGTGAAATACAAGGAAACCAACTGATAAAGATTATAAGATTATGATAGTCATTACCCATACTTGTAACGCTAAATTTATTCGTTGAATTACGTCAAAACCCTTTAATAAATTCAGTACATCAGATGAAATAATATAATAAAACAATATTTTTTAAGTAAAATAATGATTAACATGAACAAATTAATTAATAACATTAGATATTATGGTCACTAGACATTACTATTATATGATTAAATTAGTACATGGCATATCATAGACATATATTTAGCTATTGGGCACAAAAAATGAAATGTTAAATATATTTACACACTTGAATATAATTATATAATAATAATAATAATAATAATAATAATAATAATACAATACATTTTTCGAATCATATTTTTATTTTATCTCCTAACTGCAAACAGTATACTAAGAATTTCAATTTGACATTATTTAACAATAGATATATATAGTATATACAAGTATATGTAGAACAATAGCAATGGTTGCACAAAATAATAACTTACATCATACCTCAAACTTATTAGTTTCATATATGTCATTGTGTTGATAGACGTTAATATCGTAATGATCCATCATTTAAATGGCAAATTACATACTAAATGAAAGTATCAGCCATAACGTTTCATTTTCATTACGTTTATGAGTTATGACGAGGGCTCATAACTTATAGCTCTAAAAAAGGTTGTTATAAGCGCTTAAATATGCATTAAAAATATTAAAATATGCAAAAATAACGTTTGTATACAAAAATTATTGTTTTATTATTATTATTTATTATAATATTTTATTATTTTAGCTTCTATTATTAAAAAAAAAAAAAAAATGTAGATACTGAATTCACGAAACAAACTAGCATGCATACAGTACGAAAAATTGGAAACGACTGTAAAATGTTAATGAAAAATTATCAGTAAATAATCTGAGAATGATGATATCCGAATACCCAAATACCTAGAAACTATAAAAATAAAATACTCCAGTACAAGCTACAATAATATACAATTATAATGGTTTCCTTATCGATGGGATTTTAAAGTTAGAAAGCACGTGTTTATGGTACAAATTTATAATATTACCTATTGGGTATACGCCGTATACCCTCCAATACACCACTGAGTGTACTATTATAATACTTTATCCAAGGTTTAAAAGATATTAAAATTTTTAAAAGTGAACATAATTTGTAAAATTTAAACTACACACGATTTAAATTTTAGTATACATTTTTTATTTTATTTTTTTTAATTTGTAATAAAACAATCTGTAAATATAAGTGTTACAGTAAGTTCATGTGTTGTAATGATAACATAAAATATAATATAATATAAAAATTTTATTTAATTTTCCTTATTAAATTTTAACTTATATTTTATCCATTTAAAATATAAGCATAATCATAATAACGCACTTGAAGTCTTGAAACAATATTATCTCAAAAATAACGGAGAACTTAAACATATTTTTTAGGAATTCTAATTTTAACTAAACCATGTTTTAGATATCCC